CTAGTGGTAGTAATATATCTACTCCCACCACACCTCTCATGTCACCTCTGAGGTCACCTACCTCCGGCCACAGCATTGTCAAGATGATGTTTGTTGGTGCCAAGGACAAGGGTGATTCCGGCTTGTCACCAGTGGGAACTCCGGTCAAGATGACGCCAGACATCGAAATGTATTTGAACAACATCTTTCGCGCCAAGGATGCGTCTTCTGGCAGCCGTTCGGCAGCCACCAGCACGACCTGCAGCCCACGCAAGACTGCTTCACAAAGCACTGGCTCGACGGAAGGTACTATTAGGAGCAGAGACACTCCGACTTCACGTGCTGCGCAGGCCGGAAAGTCACTGCCGAAAAGGCGTGACCGTAATTTAAGAATCGACCTGTCGCATGCCACCAGTAGCAGTAGTAGTACAGGCAAAGGCCCGTCGTCCGCACCACCGTCCACACCAACACCAACATCCACACCAACATCCACACCAAAATCCACACCAACATCCACACCAACACCAACATCCACACCAACATCCACACCAAAATCCACACCAACATCCACACCAACAGCAACAGCAACAGCAGCAGCAAGACCTGATCAGCTCGTAACATGCATTGGATCTCCCTCATCTATCGGTTTGACCTCAGCGCAGCGTGCCGATGTTAGTGTGGATTCCAGTGGCTTGACACCGCCGAGCGCCGCTTCCCACGCGTCGGATACCTCAAACCCGCACTGCGCACGCACGGCAGGCTTACCCGGCGCCCTGGCGTGTAATGCATCGGCTCCTGAGCGGGGTGACCGACACGCCGGCGCCTTGGCGTGTAATGCATCGGCTCCTGAGCGGGGTGACCAACACGGCTCAACGTCGGTCATTAGTGTGTCGTCGGACGTGGTTGTGATGTCATCACCAGTGCCGACCGATGCTGTTGCAGCTACTACTGACGGAGAGGAGACGCCTCAGTGTATATCTGCTGGTGATGAATCACGCCATACCGAAGGTCACGCAAGACATGATGTTTCTTCAGACGGAAATCACACGACGACTTCGGAATCCTGTACAGAGCCGCTGGATTGCAGCCATGATAATGCTACGGGTGCTTGTATGGAGTCGCACTCCGACTCGTCAGTAGTGTACGTGCCTGAGGTGGAGACTATGGATGAGACCGACATTAGCGGCTTAAGTCAACTCTGCGCAGCTATAGACCAACTCACGTCCAGTCAGGCAAACATGACTGCGGACGCAGTAGACACGGTAGATGTGGAGAAGAATGCTCAGAGTTTCACGCTGCCGTTATCATCAGAGTCCGATGCAGATTGTCCTGCCAGCGCTGCCAAGTCCATAGTCGGATCCCCCAGAGCAGCTGGATCTCCCGGTGCTGCTGAATCTCCCAGCGCTACCAAACTCCCCAGCACAGCCGGATCACCCAGCTCAGCCGGATCACCCAGCACAGCCGGATCACCCAGAGCAGCTGAATTCCCTGGTGCTGCCAAAGCCGCCAGTGCTGCCAACCTGCCGACTGACAAGAGTACGAGTAAGAATCCTGCAGAGCGCCATCAGAGCAGTGACAACAGGTGCAGTAATGCTACATGCACTGCATCGGCAACAGCATCGGCTGTGCCATCTCAAACTGCACCTAGCTCCACTGCGGTTAGTGACTCCAGCCCTGATGTGTTTGACAAGGAATGCTCGTGTCTGTTGCCATCACTGACCGGCAGCGACTTGAACGCACCAACGTACTCACCGTTGGACAACAGCGCACTGGTCAACTCACCACTGGCAGCAAGCTTTGTTCCGCCCAGTGCCACCGCCCTGTTTAAGCTGACAGCAGAGCTCACAGAGACTATGGAATCGAGTACAGACAACCCTGGACCCCTGCTCCCGAGTGACACTTGTGCTGGTGATGATCAGCAAGCCTCTTCAGCTGAAACGCCTCTGGAGATGATTCGTGGTGCGCTGAAGGCGTCTTCACCAACCATGGCCGTAGGTGATGACAGTGCTCGTGTGAAAGCTCCTTCAGCAGCTATTGCCATTGAGGCAGGTGCTGTTTTAAGTCCAAAGCGCGCAGCACTGCACTTGTGCATTCCATCGCGTACGTCTCCACCACCCACTGCTCGGCAGCCATCCGTTGCAGAGACTGTGAATTCCAATGATGTCACATTATCTCCCGCTGGACAGGCGAGTACTGATTCAGCAGCGCAGCAGCCGACAGACTGCCTAGAGGGTGCAGCTATGGATGATGTGACCAGTGTGCAGACTTGTGATGGTGTTGCACTGTCGCCTACACTACCACCCCAGCCCATCATCATCAGCACGGAGAAGAACACACCGGCAACTCCACGCACCCCTACCACCTCATCAGCCATCTCCGTCGACCGTGCCAGTAGAAGCTGCTTGGGCACGTCTTCTCCCCTCAACAGTGCTCGTAGGTTAAAAGCATTCACGCTGAATGTGCAACGGCTGAAGGTGCACATTAAGAATGGCCGTCTCGTACGGCAACTGCCTTTCACCTCTTCCTCTCGTGCACTTGAAACCAGCTCTTGTTCTCCGCAGTCGGAAGCTAGGCGCACACCATCAAGTAGTGCAGACAATGCTTACGAGCCATGTCCCAACTCTCCGGCCACCACAACTCCAATGTCACATGACTTGCCAGCATTGTCCAGCAAGATCTGCTGCGCTGACATGGATAGCGTGGAAAATGTTATAGACAGCGTGGATAATGCCAGGGATAGCGTGGATAGTGCCAGGGATAGCATGGATAATGTCACGGATAGCGTGGATAATGCCAGGGATAGCGTGGATAATGCCATGACCAATGAGGGCAATGCCATGGATGGCAAGGAAACTGCTGTGGATAACGTGGACATTGCTATGGGCACCAAGGAAAATGCTGTGGACACCGAGGACAATGCCAGGGATACCGTGGACAATGCTATTGACACGGAGGACAATGCCAGGGATACCGTGGACAATGCTGTGGACACCGAGGACAATGCCAGGGATACCGTGGACATTGCTATGGGCACCAAGGAAAATGCTGTGGACACCGAGGACAATGCCAGGGATACCGTGGACAATGCTATGGACAGTAATGACATTGCCGAGCACAGTATAGACAATGCCGTTGCCATGAGCGACGAGGACAATGCCACAGAGGATAGCGAGGATAATGCCGTTGCCAGTGCGTGTTGTCCAGACAGAACTGCACAGCAGCAGTGTGACTCAGACCTGCTTACAGCATGCTCATCAGCGCAAGTATCCCTGCAGGTACCAGCGACAGTATGCAGCCCAGCATGCTCATCAGCGCAAGTATCCCTGCAGGTACCAGCGACAGTATGCAGCCCAGCATGCTCATCAGCGCAAGTATCCCTGCAGGTACCAGCGACAGTATGCAGCCCAGCAGCAGCATCATCAACATGTCATGTAGCCAATGCCAAGAACAAGGACGTGAACGACAGCGTTAACACGGCTAGCAAGAATGCGAATGACGGTGACAACGGTGCCAGTGATGAGGATGATGCGTGCAGTGGATCTCTGTGCAGAGCTCCGTCCGCAGCTAGTGCTACATCTTGCCATTCAGATATGAACAGTAGAGGGGGTGTGCAGGCTGCAGTCGACAGCTGCGCTACAGGCAGCAGCAGCAGCAGCAACTGCACCAGCAGAAGTGGTGATTTTCCCAGCGCATGCATAGACAAGATCAGTGACGGCACAAACCTTGATCACACCGGTAGTGGTAGCAACATCTCTGAGAAGGCTTGCAATGATGACAGCAACGGCAGCAGTAGGGTACATGCAGATGACAGCAACGGCAGCAGTAGGCTACATGCAGATGACAGCAGCAGCCGTGGTGGTTTTGGTGGTGGAAGCATTGCTAATTGTGCCAGTAATGATGTAAACAAAGCTGGTACTACTGATACCACTTATGACAACAGCAGCAGCACCACCACCACCAGCAGCAGCAGCAGCACCACCACCACCAGCAGCAGCAGCAGCACCAGCAGCAGCAGCAGCAGCAGTAATACAGATGGCGGTAACTCTGGGGTTGCGACTAATGTCACTGATACACAGCACAGTATTGCCTCAACAGGCGACAGCACCGATGTCAACAACAATGCATGCAGTGGCGATGATTGCGGTGACATGGCTGGTGAGGGATCCATCAAAGACTCACCATTAGCACAACAACCCATTGGCTGTTCGGACTCACTTCCATCATGTCAACACTCCGTTGATGGTGAAACCTCTCCAGTGCTTGCAGAGTCACCTGTTCCTAATGATGACACACACACAGGCAGTATCAGGATGTCTCCATCAACAGCATCATCATCATCATCATCATCATCGTCATCATCATCACTAGTCAGTTTATCCACATGTGTTCCGTTACCGTCACCAAGCTTAGTCGCCCGTACAGCATCGACCGACTCAGCATTAACAGCGACACTTGCAGACACCGCTGATCTGCATGTCGACTCGGCCTCTGCGTCAACATCCACGACACCAGCCACTCAGAGCATTGCGGAACACACCGAGCCAGCAGCAGAGGTACGCACGGCCAACCGTCACTCCCGATCAGCAGCACCCAGCCCAGAGCTCATTTCCAGACAGTGCTCGCTGGCCATTAGCCCCGGTGCTAGCTCTGATGAGTCACACGAGCCAAATCTTGTGATATGCGTGGCGTCGTCGACCTCACCCTCTGAGCAGAGTATAACCCCCTGCACATCTGCCCAGTCGCCAGGGAATACCAGTACTAGTACCCAGCCACTGTCAGATTCAAAATCTCTTCCAGCCACGCCGTTCTGTCCCATTATCCTCACGCCGTCGCCCACTCGGAAGTGCGATGTCGACGACAATGCATCCGGCCCGCCTCCTCACATCACGTCCAGCCCTGTGTTTGCTCTCTGTCCACGCCCGCATGGCAGCCACACTCCACCGCTTGGTCCTCTCTCCGGCACGTCACAATCGGATACTGCAACGCCGGGCCTTGCCAAGCCAATCCCGCTGGTTGTTGCTTCACAGACCGGCATGCCTATCAACCAGTGTAAACTGTCCACGAACATGTCAAGTCTGACTGACGGTCGTCGTGCTCTCTCGCCAAACAGTCCATTCAAGTGGGTCGCCAGTGACGTTCAGTATTGCGCCAGCAGAGCAAATACAACGAGTGACCAAACCCTCTCTCGCCAAGGTCGGCCGCCTGTCACCTCTGAGGGCATTGGTATTGACAGACAACCGTCGTACAGTACTACAACTACAGCTAGAGCTCTGAGTCTTATCACCACCAGCAGCAGCAGCACCACCAGCAGCGCTGGTCGTACAACATCCTGTACTGGCAGAGCAGTTACCGCCGTCTGTGGCAGCAGCAGCAGCAGCAGCAACACCGCATTTACCCGCGGTGATCGTTTCGAGAAGAAGACGCCCGGTGCTGTGGAGCGCAGTCCAGGTATAGGTAGCACTGCCCACATGCTGATTACCAACCCTACCAGTGCAATGAGCAACCCTACCAGTGCAATGAGCAACCCTACCAGTGCAATGAGCAACCCTACCAGTGCAATGAGCAACCCTACCAGTGCAATGAGCAACCCTACCAGTTCAATGAGCAACCCTACCAGTTCAATGAGCAACAGCAGCAGCAGCAATAGCACAGTTAATGAGGATCTGCACACTGCACTGAGCAAGACCGTCACGCTCTGGCACAACCAGCTGAAAATCGACCCGTTCCTGCTGCTGCAGACGGCGCGCCACCTCCAGGAATCATCGGCTGCCGAGAAAGCATCGTGCTTGGTGACTGAAAGACTACTCAAGATACCAGCAACCACTGAGCAGCTCAGTACCGCCTGTAACAATGTCATTGAGCAGATGACCAAACGGCACGAGCGACTCGACGCACATCAGAAAATCCTGAGCAGCTTCAGCGCTCACTCGGAGAAAACTCTTCAACAGCTGCGGTGCTTGCAGCAGCAGCTGGCTCAACAAGGCACGCGCACCACCGCTGAGAGCAGGGCGGAATCGCTGGCCCCGCAAGGCACACGCAAGATTAGAATCCGCTCAGAATCGCAGGGCACACGCAAGATCAAAATCCGCTCGGAACCTGGAAATTCTCCGTCCAAAACCCACCCCAAGGTCAGTCCGTTGAAGCATGCACGCTCCTCGTCAGCCCCGGTGCCAACTCCGTCGACAAAGCTGGCAAAGCGTGCGCCACCACCACAGTTGAGCTTCCGTTCGCTGTTGCCCAAATTAGGGGGCAACCCTGCAACTACACGAGTGCGCATGGATCATCCGTTCACGACTATAGCGCAGTCACCATCTTCTTTATCGTCATCGTCAACAGCATCGCCATTGGTAACAGTATCAACGTCGCCAGCATCACAGTCAATAGTGACCGGTGTCAATAAGCTGGCGGCAGACCACCGCCCCTCTACTGCTCCAGCAGAAGCGACATCAGCGGTGCCGATGGCCTTAGAGTTTCTCTCCTCTCCGCCCAGGCTGCAGTCAGCCATCACTGGCCGTGCAGCATCCAGTACGAATAAGCAGCAGCAGCAGCGGCAGCAGCAGCAGCTCCGAATGCCTTTAAAACAAAACAGCGGCGGCGGCGGTGACGGTGGTGGCGGCGGTGGCAGTGTTGAACAAGCCGTGCACACCATAGCCCGACACCAGATCACGGGCAATGCTTCGTTGCCATGGAGACTAGTGCCGGTCGCACACAGCCGTGACTCCCAGTTTCAACGCGACCTCGGCCTGCAGGAGGTGGTGTCGTTTGTGTCCGGCACATCTCCCACGCAACTCACTGACAATGCTCATCAGCCAACCACCTCAGTGCCAGCCATCAGTGTTTCAGACAGCACCGTGAAGTGTTTAGTGTGCAAAGTCTCATTCAGCACACTCTGGTACGGCTGCAACATTCCCAAGACGTTCCTCTGTCACCTCTGCTTTACCAGCACACGCAGCATGCAGCAGCGAAAGCTGCGGCGCAAGTCTGTTCAGAATGATCTGGCGAAGAAACAACGGCCGCTGGCACAGGTCAGGCCTGCTCAAGCCAACGACTTACCCAGTGCAAAGATCTCCAAGAAAACCTAGTGATGACAACAGCAGCAGCAGCAACACCATCACCACCATCACCAGCACCACCATCAGCAGCACCAGCACCATTACCAGCACCACCACCACCACCACCATCACCAGCACCATTACCAGCACCACCAGCACCATTACCATCACCATTACCATCACCATTACCAGCAGCACAGCTGCAGACAAGCAAGGTATTTCACCATGGCTGTTATACAGGTAGTATACGTCAGTGTCTCCGCCGTGCATCCCGTAGCGTCTCCATGGCAACTCTAATGGCATGTTAGCATGAGCATACATGCCTGTGATCACGTGCCCAGGGGAAATCCCCTTCACTCTTGGCATTCACATTCAACTGAAGGAAAGCGTTACCACTGTCCCCTGCTGCTCATAAATGCCACGAGCCCATGCTCATGAATGCCAGAGCAATGGCAGAGCTATGGCAGAGCAATGGCAGCTAGTGGTGAATACGAGATGTGCAGGTGACTCGACACAGCTGCTTGCTCTTCACGGCTCGGCATCGGCTTTTCATGCTTCGCTTTATGTGTGCATGTGCGTGCCAATGTGTGTGTTTACATGCGAGTTTATGTGTACGCCGTGCGCAGCAGTGTATGCATGTGTGCCAGTGTTGGTAATCCCCTCCCCGTAGCTGCATGCTGTGCGCTGGTCCCAGGCCCACTCCGATATCCATATGGCCTCCGTGACACGAGGCGCACGTGTTGGTGTGTCGGTGTGTACATTTCCAAAATCTGGAAATCTGTCTGGAACTTAGCAACTGTGATGCAATACGATGTGTCCGCTTTAGCAGCACCTGGTGTGCCGTGCAGTGTGTCTCTTTACCAGCACCAGGTGTGCCGTGCAGAGTGTCCGCTTCAGCAGCACCTGGTGTGCCGTGCAGAGTGTCTCTTTAGCAGCACCTGGTGTGCCGTGCAGTGTGTCCGCTTTAGCAGCACCTGGTGTGCCGTGCAGAGTGTCTCTTTAGCAGCACCTGGTGTGCCATGCAGTGTGTCTCTTTAGCAGCACCTGGTGTGCCATGCAGTGTGTCTCTTTACCAGCACCTGGTGTGCCGTGCAGTGTGTCCGCTTTAGCAGCACCTGGTGTGCCGTGCAGTGTGTCCGCTTTAGCAGCACCTGGTGTGCCATGCAGTGTGTCTCTTTAGCAGCACCTGATATGCTGGGTTTTCCCAATAGCCAACGCTAATTGGGACTTCTGTCTCGTGTCCAGCTTGCAAACTGTCTTCTCTTCGCTATGCGCACAAGAACTGCTTTTATAACCGTCTTGTCTGTTGCTTGTTTTATAACCATCTTGTCTGTTGCTTGTTAGCATTCTATCCGTTGTTTGTACTAGGGCTGATTCATTCCTAGCGGGCTGAGAATTTTTTTGTCCGCCCCGTGAGCTCTTCTCTTGCGTGACACCCTGATGTCGAGAATCCTCTTTCTTGTAAGTTAGGCACTGCATCCACTGCCGGCATTCTGAGCTATCAGCTGCCATGGCTGCCTGTTGGGTTCGCTCTTGCAGCATTCTGGTCCTTGGTGATCCATCAGACTAACGTTATTCATCTATCCCACTGCTAGCTTTACCTTTATGCCGTTTTCCAAATTCTTTTATCATGTTAAGTGTTAACCTCTGTGAGTCACTCGTGCATTTTTTTTTATTCCATCCCGGTACACAGTTCGTGAAGCTCCGCGTATCCATTCTGCCCTCTACACGTATCTGTGTGGCATCTCTTGGTTTTATTTCTGACATTGAGTGCAACGCTTTGCGCCAGTTGATCAATTTCATACAGAAGTACTTTTAAAGTGTCATGTGCTACACGCACACTTTCCCCTGCTGCTACTACTACCATGTAGTGGCAGATTGGGATTGTCGTCGACTGGTGTGATGGTGCACGCGTTCACATTCGTGTGTACGTGTACTGTGTGTGTGGTGGTGGGGGGGGGGGGGGGTAGCTATGCATGTAGACCAGGCTGAATAGTGGTAGTCAATTCTTCAGCCTTGCAAGCTGTTGGATGCTCCAATCCCCCCAGCACAAGTTGCTATGGCTTCGGTAGCATCGCTATCATCGCCTCTGGCGATGGGCATCAAAAGGTGTGTGTCTGTGTATGCATGCATGCATGCATGGACTGCTTCTGGCTAGATTAACTCTTGTGTAATCAATGATGCTAGTGAAGCCTATATCAGATCCACTCTGATTTAGCCACCCACGCTAGTAGCAAGTATTACCTTCACTGGGACAGAAGTAAGTTGTAAGTAAATGTAGTTGGATCCCAGGACAGATACCCTGGTGCCGTCAATCCTTTTTCTGCCCCTTGTCCTCACCCACTTACTGAGGTGTGGTGAAACCATAAGTAGGATCATTTTCAAGTCCCCCCAAGTTTGGGGATTTCAGGGGTGTCGGCAGTTGGGCGGTTCCAATTGAGTCATATTTTCCAAGATTCCTTTTGAGTCTCTCTCCCCTCTCCTGGGGAGACCCACGTGACCAAGTGTGTGTGTGTGTGTGTACAAGTGCCAGCTAGTTTGGTTGGTGGGTACAATTATGCCTGATTGTGTTGGGTCTGTTACCAACAGGCTCGGCTGCTTGAAGGTGTATTGTTGTATCTGCCACCTTTGTTGGTTTCAGGGTTCGTATACTTTCTATTTGAAGTACACATACCTGTTAACCATGGACTGCTTCTGGCTAGATTAACTCTTGTGTAGTCAATGATGCTAGTGACGCTTAGATCAGATCCACTCTGATTTAGCCACCCACACTAGTAGCAAGTATTACCTTCACTGGGGGCAGGGGTAACTGCAGTTGGATCCCAGGACGGATACCCTGATGCCGTCAATCCTTTTCCTGCACCTTGTCCTCACCCACTTACTGAGGTGTGGTGAGCCCATAAGTGGGATCATTTTCAAGTCCACCCAGAGTTTTGGGGATTTCAGGGGGTGTCGGCCGTTGGGCGGTTCAATAGCCAGATGAGTCATCTTTCCAAGATTCCTTTTGAGTCTCTCTCCCCTCTCCCGGGGAGATCCACGTGACCCAGTTTTGGCAGTGAGCAACAAGTACAAGTGTGTGTGTGTGTGTGTGTGTGTTTGTGTATGTGTGTGTGTGGGTGTGCTTGCGTCCATAGCCCTTGTTGCAACAATGATGATTCTAGTGGCTTGTACCGAGGGCTATAGCCTATAGTATAGGGTAAGGGAGGCGGCAAGAAAAAAACACAGCGGTGTTGCACATTGCACTGCTGCTCTAGCATGATGATTGGCAGAATAGCCAATGCCCATACATCTCAGAATAACAGCAAGAAGATGGCCAGCTCAGTAAAACTTGCTGCCCAGGCCACTACTATGGCCAGCTCAGTAACCTGCTGCCCAGGCCACTACTATGACCAGCTCAGTAACCTGCTGCCCAGGCCACTACTATGGCCAGCTCAGTAAAACCTGCTGCCCAGGCCACTACTATGGCCAGCTCAGTAAAACCTGCCCAGGCGACTACTATGATAAGGCGAGCACTTTCGGCAACGGTCCAAGAAGACCGCTACTTCGAGTATACATGTACTGAACTACTCACGACCAAGGGATCAGTTGTTTCTACTCAAATAACCATGGATACAAGAACAACCTCAGGTCCGCCGGAAGCAGTTTTCGATTGGTCCAGTAGTATTGTGGCCTTTCATACTTAATGTATCGACATACATGTACAAGTACAAGGTGTAGTGAATACACATGTAGTGAATAGTAAGTGAATACACATGTAGTGAATATGCATGCAGTGGATATGCATGTACAAGGTGTAGTGGACATGCATGTACAAGGTGTAGTGGACATGCATGTACAAGGTGTAGTGGACATGCATGTACAAGGTGTAGTGGACATGCATGTACTTGTACATGTAGTGGATACACATGCTCTCCACAGTAGGAAACATGACTGTGTTGATGGCCAAAAGGTTGATACGGTGATAACCTGACCTACCAGATCAGTTCCGGCGGCCCTCAACCTGTGAGCAACGACCCGCACATTATTAGGCCCCAGTAACCCAGTTGAGCGGTCGTCTTACACAGGTTTCACTGTACAGTAAAACCTGTAAAGGAGGCCACTCGGATAAGGCGACCACCTGTCCCAGAAGATCACGAAACCGGGATCAAGGAATGCTACATGTATCTCCAGGCAAATGACCCAGGATAAGGAGACCACCCGGTAACAGAGACCACCTGGTTACAGAGACCACCTGGTAACAGAGACCACCTGGTAAGGTCCCAGTTGACCGGTCGGCTTAGACAGGGTTCACCCTATTGCCTTCCATTGCACTTTTCTGGACTCAGTGGTCTTGCTGTGAGCACCACCCCCTGGTCCAGGGAGTACGAAAAAGGTTTTTAGCACTCCCTGGTGTGCACTACCAGGACTATACTACAGTGGAGATAGGATATAACGACGCTCATTCGGCAGTCTATATTCGATCTGTCACTAAACCCGGTCTTCACATTTAGTATGCAATATGTATATCCAAATGACAGAAATGTATTGTAGATATACATGTACATGTACATCTGCCTTCGGCTCGGCGATGTCCTCATATCCCCAACACCAACGGTGAAGTATCTTGGCCTCACCATTGACGAACATCTATCATTCTCCTCATATGTCACTGAAGTTGAGAAAAAGGTCGGAACAAAACTTGCCACGTTCCGGAAGATCAGGGACAATCTGACACCGGCTGCGATAAGACCTTCTACTGCTCATTTATTCAAGCACACCTTGAATATGGTTCTAATGCGTTTGTACACTGCCTTCACAGCACACAACATGATAGACTAACTCGTATTGCTAACCGCGCTGTTAGGATTGTTTTTGGTTTTCCTTGGCACTATGATGTTTCAGTCTTACACACCAGATATGGCCTTGCTCCTATTGCACTGCGCTATCAGCTTAAGGTGGCAGGCTACCTTCAGAATTGGGAAAAATCGAATTTTTGATTTGAGGTTAACTGTGATACTTTTCTCATTGGGGTAGCCACAAAGCATTAGAATTTAAAATTTTGGGTCAATCGGTCCAGTGGCTCCGGAGTTATAGTGGATTGTAAGTGCGACAATTATTGAATATGAAATAAATTGCATGAAATTGCAAAAACAATTAAAATTTTCACCAAAGTCATTTTTGCGCTATTTTCATCAATTTCGATCGTAGCGCTCTAATTTTTTGACGCGAGCTAGCGGGCCTCCTCTGTGATCCGTTGCCGTGGCAATCATTTCCAAAATGGCTGCCCTTCATGACGTACGCGTGGTAGACAGTCAGCTGACATCAAAATAAATTTTGTCAGCGAAGTGTCAGCATGCAAAGCAAATAATTGTTGTAGCTTTGTTTCATCAAGCCTTGTCAGTTTTGTTTTGACATTGCTGGAGACGTAAGCCGTGGTGGATCATCTGCCATGGGTAACAAACGCAAGAGCAGGGTTCTCAGCAGGCCAAAGAAGTGCCTTCCCCCGCGGAAAAGGACTGTCTTGGCTCGTGAAGAGCCCACAACTGAAGATGGTGATTTGGACGTATTCGTCGCAGCATCTGAGGATGTTGCAAATCAATCTTCCGTGGCATCTGATTCTTGTACTGGTGATTCAAGCGATGAGGTTATGTCCTGCGACGAGTCTGATGATGATGATGATGATGACAGTTCGGACGAGCACAACAGTGGTAGCAGAATCGTCCACTTGCCATCCCTGACACGTCTTCTTGGCTCATCATGTGTCTGTGCCAACTGCAAGACTGGGTCATTGCTCGTCCAGGAGTCGACTCCATATGGCCCAGCCCCAATTCTTGAGCTTACCTGCGATCATTGTGGGCATGTATTTGAGGGCCGCCTTGCTGAAAAACATACACCAATGCGATTTTATGATGTGAACAGACGTTCAGCAATGGCCATGCGGATGATTGGCAAGGGAAGAGAAGCACTGAGGATGTTCTGTGCCATCATGGATGTGCCTGAGCCCATGTACGGACGGTCGTTCCAGTCTCACTGTTCAGCATTGCATGATGCAGCAGTTGAAGTTGGGACAAATAGCATGCGGCACCATGCTGCAGAGTTACTGGCTATGCGGCAAGCGAGTGGATCTGACCATCCGTCACACGTGGCGTAAGCACTGACGGCACATGGATGCGGCGTGGGTACTCTTCTGTGTTTGGTGTCCAAACAGGAATTGCGTACGACACACTCAAGGTGGTGGATGTGGAGGTGTTATCGAAGCATTGCAACCATTGCAAGGTTTGGGACAACAAACGCGACACGAAGACAGTCACGGCAGCGGAGTTTGCCACCTGGAAGGCTGCACATGCTGACAGCTGCGACATCAACACCAATGTCTCAACACCAGCCATGGAGACTGCAGCAGTAGTGAAGATTTGGAATCGATCTGAGGCTCTCAATGGCCTTCGCTACACATCCTACATTGGCGATGGTGATTCGAAGGGATTTCAAAAAGGGTTATGCAGACAAGGCCAAAGAGACGGAAGGCGTTACGTACTGTCCTGGTGGGTTTTGAGTGCTAAAAGTTGCCCTTTTTGGGGGGTACCGTGTGACCTTTGGTACACCATATCTCCAGTTTGGTATGTCCAAATCCAGTAAACTATATATGTATTCATATCTACGTCAAATTTGCAAGGTGCTCACGTCTCTACTTTTGAAGATTTTGTCACATCTACTGACGTATGGGCACAGAAAGATAATTGGACCAACGGCGCGTTCTTTACGTGATTTCTTTATGTGTGTGTTAGCCAGATTCTTTACATCTAGAAGCATAAATCTCTTCGTGAGCATCTAGTACTGAGCAAGAACACTCATTATGTAACATAAGTATCTGGCTATTGCTAAAATCCTTGCAGAAAACTTGTACCAAAAATTTGTTGACCGCATTTTTGCGATATTCTTGTTTGGTGTGTCCAGCATCCTGTTCTCCAAGTCAAAATGCATGTGTGGTGGTTGTTCAAGTGTTCTTTATTATCTGACCAGCATGTGTAGAAAATTTGGTGCAAAAATAATGAGGGATGCCAATGTTACAGACATTTGAATGCATGTATGTTATCGGCAGGCGCCGAAGGTAGCCTGCCACCTTAAACTGTATATTCTTGTCTTTCGGGCCATACGTGGCATGTGTAGCACTCTGCTCTCTGATTGCTTCTGCCTTCGTTCTGCCACAACACGCACAGCTGCCCGTACACGTTCCCAGTCCATAGATTCAGTCTTGCTCTGCCTAAAGCACGCACTCGTTATGGCTCAGTATTCGCTTTGAGCTTTCTGGCTTCTGACCGCTGGAATTCTCTTCCAGCTGACATTCGCTCTTGCTCCTCGCTTTCACTATTCCGCAAATCTATACGTGACCACATAGGGTACCCTGTAAAAAGGCCTTAGGCCTGTGGGGATTGCCCTATTCAAAATTTAAATAATAATAATAATCAGTTTTGTGCCTCAGTAGTAGTTGTTGCACTTTCTGACTGTGGATAGACTACAGGTAGTTACCATGGTTACAGTGGTGGAGAGTTACTCTTAACTCGTTTCCATATGTCCTTTTCCTTTCTACTTTTATTATTGGCTCAATACCCGAGTTTCAAATAATAATAATAATAATAATAATGTACATGTGGAGAACAGACTCGGAGGGAGTTGTGGTTGCTCGTGAGAGTGCTCAACACACCAAGGTGCAGAGCCTAGTGTGTGTGTGTGTGAGAGTGTGTGTGGATAACAGATGTGTATATGTATGTACATGTGTCTTGCATGCATTGTTCAAGGACGGTAAAGTCATCCCGCACCGCTGCACTGCGGCCACAAAGTGCAATGTAAAGCACACATCAGGGAGTCGTAAAATACCGGTATTTTACGACTCCCTGGCACACATAATTGAGTGACCCAAAGGTCCGGCGGGCACGTGGAACAGCCATAATATACCATGTTGCAGACATGCCAGTCTGCCTGATACAAGAGGAAAGTCGCTATAGCCTATATCCCATGTTCATGTATTTTCACTGTTTTTCACGTCTTCGGCCACCAAAACAAGTGTCAGTAAATTCGATCTGTCGTTATTTTCGAGGTCGTTATACCCGATCTATAATGTGCAGAAAGGACTTGCTAAACGGCTTGGGCAACAGAATTGTGTCACTAAACTTGATTTTGTCGTTATACCCTGTCCCCGGGGAAAATTGCAATTCCGCGGCCGCGTTTTTTCCGCGTTTTTTGCGATTTTTTAAAAGACCGCGTTTTCCGCAATTTTCCCGCGTTTTTTGAACTTTTTTGTTACACTACACGTACACACAGTGCACTGTACGGTCAGCAACGTCTCATCGTGGCGGCTTTTTACTCAAATATGACGAGTGCTTACACCAGAGAGTTGTAACTGATTGATTTCACTACATACTCACTGAAAATTGCCGCACATCAATATTATTCACCGCATATTTACCGCATATTTACCGCAAATTCACCGCAAATTATGCCATATTATGCCGCGTTTTTCCCCGCGTTTTTTGCGATTTTTTTCCGCAATTTTCCCCGGGGACAGTATACCCAAGGTCGCTTTATTATATCCAATCTCCACTGTACTACATGGCATACTACAGTACAGTGTCAGTACAGTACAGTGACAGTGTCAGTAGTACTAGTACAGTAGTAGATCTACTCTCCAAGATGGCAAGAGTCCCAGCCATACTATGCATGCAGCTCACCCACCAGTCACCAGCTAGCTAGCTGTACCTGTGGTCCAGTGACCATGGTGACTGTGTGGACGGGTAGATCTACTACAGTCGTCCCTCTCTAATCCGGCACCTTTTGCAACGGCATTTTCTGCCGGATAAACAAGGGTGCTGGATTATCAAATCCTGCCCTCCAACCCGGCTCACCTAGTAACGTTCATGTTTGTGTCGTATGTCAAAATGTAGGGATTTTCTGTGTCAATCCAAGTACTTTGTCACAAGTTTGTGGAATGCATGTCTGTAACATGCCATGTCTATAACAATTAACATACACTTGGGAATATCCTGTGCACTGGCATAGGATATTGGCACCGGTACGGTATGCGATGTACAACTGCTGGATTAGAAAATCAAATTATGTACAGTTTGAGTGATTTGTTGCAGAAAATCGCTGCTGGAGGCGGAATTCAAGTGCCGGATTAAAGCGTAGAAAATGAACTGAAAAAATCCGTTTTGCCAGAAAGTGTGCTGGTTTGCAAGGGTGCTGGATAAACAAGTGCCGGATTAGAGAGGGACGACTGTACTTCCTCTCTACATACAATGACGACTTTCGTCCATTTACATGATTACCATGATTACACTCATGCCCTAGTATCGCGCTTGCACCCGTGCTGCCGTAGATCTACACGGAGATCGCGTAGTACATGTGCATACTCGCACAGACTGTCTGTGACTAGAGACTGACAGACTAACTGTTCGACATGTCCGGATCATGCTCACCTGCGCTCGTGTTGATGTGACTGTTCGAATCGAAGTGCTCCCCGCGCTCTGGCTCGTGTGCATGATCTGGAGCTGCACTCTAGAAACATGTAACGGAAGGAACGTCAAGCCAGCTCGATCGATTATTTCCGGCCTCCCGCCCAGCATGCTAGCGCAGCAACAGCAGCAGTCACACACTCCGAAACGACGATCCGGGTCGGACCTGAGGACGCGTGGAGGTAGAACGGCTGAACGCTGATGCCGTCCCATCGTAGCGCACCCTGCGGTACAATTGTTTACTGCGCTCCGTGAGTCTCTCCTGCACTCCGTAGCCTGATGCCCATGCACTGCAATGATGGACAACCTGGCGCTAGCGTCCGTAGCGATGGCGGAGAAACGCTTCAAAAGCGCCAGCAGCAGTTGTCCAAGCAGCTCAGTGCGCCCCTGCCCAGCAGCGTACCGCGTTCTCGACGGGCTTCGGAAGATTTCAGCAGGTCACAGAGCGTCGCTACCAGACCCTCCTTGCTTACGCCCAGTGCGGCGAGCAAGAAATCACATGCACCTGTTCGCCATTGCAAGGGACCAGCTCCACAGCCTCCGGGAGGACCTCCGAAGAGCATGGCGTATGTCCGCTTTACACCAGGGGCAGCCATTGGTACTACTAGTGCTAGTAGTGGTAGTAAGATTGCAAGAGTGAGCGAATCACCGGACAGAACATGTCATCGTAAAGTGTCAGCTGAGCGACGAGTCAGCGCGGAGTCAGGCAACATCACTACGCTGCTAGCTGACGATGCCCGTATCAAGGCCATCAAACAGCGAGAGGAGGAGCTGTTCACGCAGCGACAACAGGAGACTGGGAGATATCATTCAACAACAGCTTCGGATGATTCAATTGCTAGCGGGTCCACAACGAAGCTAGGGTATCCTCCGGCAGTAATCAGACCCAACGGACGCCGACCGGAGCGTCCCAAGAGTTTACCATCGGGCGTTCAGCGCCGAGTGACGTTTCCAGCAGCACCCTTTGCTGTCCCCGGAGAAGAACCAGGAACGGGACGCAGCGAACTTGGCGACGGTGGTGGGATTTACGCGTGTATCGATGACGAGCAGACCCGGGAAAGAATGCCGACAGTAGACGAACTAAAAGCAGCGGGCATTCGAGAGCGGCTAGTGCCTCGACGGAGTGATGTAGGGGCAAAGGACTTGGCCATATGGGGTGGCGCTGGCTCGATAGAATTTCCATTGACACTGCGACTGCGGCACAGTGACTCGCTGGGAAATCGTACCGTGGCGGAAGGTAGTGAAATCACGCTGTGTGCTGTGCGCAGCAAGGAGCTAGCGCGGTTAGTGGGAATCGATGCTGATCAACAGAGTATAAGTTATGAACCAGTGGAAAGCAGTGCTGGCAACACTAACACACTGTATGAAGTGGTACGTGGACACCAAGCCCCAGGGTCTCGACCAAATTACCTGTGGAATACAACATCATACTCAAACTTGCAGCAGTGCCTGACCAACAGTCCCTCCAAGCGGCGCATTCGCCTCACCGACGACTTCGTCCTCAACAATGACATCATGCTGAAGAAAGGCGAAGAGTTTATCGTCGCCTGTGATACGGTTTCAATGGATACACTATCGGTTACTCACATACCGTGCTGGCGACTATCAGCGTTGTCGGAAGTGGCAAGGGCAATGGCAACTGCAGGTACTGTAAGCGCACACTCGAGCGGGCATACACACTCGCCGTCGTGGCAAACGGTGGAACTGGTCATGCTGCCACTGAACGATGACATGGGCGTTCAGGAGTGTGTCAACTCCCAGCTGCTGCGTTTGTCTCAGCTCGCACAGCGCTACTGCACACAACTACCCATGCAGATCATAGCGTATGAACATGTGCCAGTACAGCCGGCGGTGTTTGCACGGTCTGGTGACGCGGCGGCACAACTGCACATCTCCACGTCCTCACAACTATCCCTGGAAGCCATGACAACGGAGACTATGCTACTGGTAAGTGGAAGAAGAGTATATCCTCGATTGCCCTCCCCCCCCCCCCCCCCCCCCGAGTATATCCTCGTTTGCCCCCCCCCCCCCCCTCTCCGTGCAAATATCGTCATGGGAGGTGTTTTGAATATTTTCACGAGAGTTGTTTTGAATATCGTGATACTCATGTAGCGCACGTAGAACAACACAGCTGCTAGTTTCATCGCTAGCAAGTACATGTTTAAGACAGTATTTGTCCTGAAAACTAGTCCCCTTGTACAGTACACAGTACAGTACACAGGGCACACTACCGTATTTCCCCATAAGTTACATGCTGTCCAACCGTCCTGCTTTGGACCAAAACATTTGCGTACATTTACATGGCAGACAATTGCCTTTGTATACATTGTGTATAGGTGTCCTGCTTTGGAAAGGTGTCCTGCTTTGGAAAGGTGTCCTGCTTTGGAAAGGTGTCCTGCTTTGGAAAGGTGGCAAGGTTGGACAGTCTGAAGTTAGTACGTACTAACTTTCGAACTTAGCAGCCACATGAGTACTAACTTTCGGGGGTGGTACTATCTTTCGGGGAGTACTTTTTTATCGGGGATAAATGACACGCAGTGGGAAGCCTGTGCAACTCTAGTGTCTGTGCATATGATGTATGTACTGTACGGTGTCCGTACATGTAGGACGGGTACGAACTTACTATCTTTCGGAGGGAATTGTCTTTCGGGGTGATAACCTCGGCAGTGGAAAGTGTATTTTTTGTAGGGGGGGGGGGGGGGGGGTACTAAGTCATTGGGGAGAACTTACTTACGGGGAAATACGGTAGTACACTGTGCACTGTGCAGTCAGGCATGTTCTACCAGGGACCAGTCCCACGTGTGCAGGGACTCCGCTCCGCCATTGAGGGTTTTTCGGAAGCGAGGTTTGCGCCCGCTATGTTGCAGGCTCATCAGTTGCACAAGTGCGGATAAGTTATAACTGACCGTTCCAATTGGGCAGACGCTACGTGTGTGGGGAAAGTGGGTTGTGGTGTATGTGGTACGTCAATCCCTGTGGGCCATGGATATCGTCCACTCTTTTTATCCCATGCACATCATACGTACTGTGCATAAGTCATGGGGCTAGCAATGGACAGCTAAGAAAGTCGTCGTTGCTACTTCCACATCAAAAGCATACGCATCCAATTTGGCTGCAATGAGTCCATATAGCAGTGCGCTCAACACATCACACCTGTGTCTGCTTCAGTGTGCTTGGATAAACTCTGTAATTGTGTTGCGTAATGAATTTCTCACGTCTGGTGTACTGCTTCCTTGTGGGAGTGCGGATGTGGGTGGCTGTGGGTGGCTGTGTGTGTGTGTGTGTGTGTGTGTGTATGTGTGTGTGTGTGTGTGTGTGTGTGCGTGTGTGTGTGTGTGTGTGTATGTGTGTGTGTGTGTGTGTGTGTGTGTGTGTGTGTGTGTGTGTGCGTGTGTGTGTGTGTGTGGTGTAATCCCAGCACAAGTTGCTATGTCTAACATAGCTGTTCGCTATCATCGCTTCCGCGATGGGCATGTCTGAGGTCTGAGGTGTATGTGTGTGTGTGTGTGTGTGTGTGTGTGTGGATATGCGTGTGTGTGTATGCATGTGTACATGTGTGTGCACATGTCACGGTGCATATGTGTGTTCCCGACCTGCAGCTACTCATTGCTGACCATCCTGTTTTGGTATCTGATCGTCACACGTTCAGATGTGACCTAGTCCCAGCCTCTTCACCACCATCTGCTTCGCAGCTGTGCAGAGCACTGGCTGGTCCGGCCGCACAGTCACTCATGACTCAGCAATACGGGGGCAAGGCCCCTCCCACCATGACACCGGTCATGACACTGGAGAGACAAGCTTTCCCCGAAGAGGACTACATGGATATGAGAGAACGTAGGTCATACTGTGTGTGTGTGTGTGTCTCTCCAGGCCAGAGGCGGCCCTCTCCGGGCCGCCTCAAGGCCAGCAAAGCGCTTTCGACGAGGGGACCGACACAGCTAAAGGACGGGACGGCGTTTGATGCCGTCACCTTTGACTGCGCCCTTCATCGCCACTCGCGGAGGTTTGACAAGCCCCCGAGCGGATCCCATCGCGCGCCATGAAATTTGTTGAAGAGAGGAGAGAGAGAAGGAGACGCCATCTGTTGCGCTTTGGATGCTGGAATGTCAGGTCCCTGGTGGAGCGCGACGGATGTGTATCTGCTCTCGCCGGTTCCGACTAGTCTCGCATCTGGAGCGCCATCGGGTGGCGTGCTCTTTCTCTCTCTCTGCTGCCCCTCCGGGGCCCACGTGACCCTAGTGGTAGTGGCTCTACAGGACAGGACAGGACAGGTGTGTGTGTGTGTGTGTGTGTGTGTGTGTGTGTGTGTGTGTGGTTGGGGGGGGGGGGCAGTGTGTGTGTGTGTGTGTGTGTGTGTGTGTGTGTGTGTGTGTTTCACCGAATGATGCTCACCGGTGACTCGTGCGGCTGTCATGTACGACTTAGAGCTGTTCTTACTTGAAGCCTAATGTATCAGCAGAAGGTTACTTGGATGGAACTACCCCTTTTATGGCAAAGGAAGGTCTCAGCACAGTCAGTACATCCACTGGTATACTGGTGATCTGTATGATCTGTATGGTCTGTATGATCTGTATGGGCGGTCTGCTCTAATCCGTTGCCAAGAATGCACCGGCACGAATCTACCGACAAGAATTCACCAGCTCAATGGTGCCATGTATAGTTTTAAATGTTCTCGGCGCCCGATCACATCGTAACTTCCTTCCCGTGATGTTAGCACTGTGTTGGGGCCGTGTTAGGAGGGAACTTGCCACCTGGGTCCAAATATGGTGCAGAGCGTGTGAAAAGGGTGCTTTGGGCAACATTTGAGGTTTGAGTTGTCATGCCCTTGTGCTAGCCAGCCTCTCCAGTTGCGCTAAAAAGCCCCCATACCACACACATAAAAATAATTTAAATAATATACCGGTACATGCACACTAGTTGTATAATTATGTATATGCATGCACAGGTGTGCTAAAGTGCTGTTGAACGCCAGCCCACCAGATCAGGTTAAAACAGGACAGGTGGTAGCACCAGATCAGGTTAAAACAGCCTGACAGGTGGTAGGTGGTAGCAAGCTGCTCTATTGCATATCCATGTAGAGACTGGTTCAGTGACACCTATGTTTCTACAACGGGGCTACGGCTCAACATGTCAAACATAGGTGCGTGTGTGTGTGTGCGTGTTTTTTTGAGCAACCACTGGAGCTTGCATGTGTGTGTGTGTGTGTGTGTGTTTTTTGAGCAACCACTGGAGCTTGCATGTGTGTGTGCGTGTGTGTGTGTGTGTGGTGTGTGTGTGTGTGTGTGTGTGTGTGTGTGTGTGTGCGTGTGTCCCATATGGTGCAGTGGTATGTGCAGCGATTTCCAATCGATAGGTTGCGGGTTTGATTCCCGACGATTATGGTTACACACGTCTTTCTTCTCTTTCTCAGACTCCTCCCGACTTTTCTTTCATTCTCCTGGGTGGTTACCAACAGCCAGTGCATGCCGGAGTATGTGGTGTGATGTGTGTGCGTGAAGAAAATGAAAAAATGAAAAAGAGCAAACGTAGGGAGTCACTGGCCAGAAAAAGCCACTTCATAGCTGTGTGGTGTAGACCAGGCTGAATAGTGGCGGTCAATTCTTCAGCCTTGCAAGCTGTTGACTCGTGATGGTGCAATCCCAGCACAAGCTGCTATGGCTTTTGCTGTAGCATCGCCATCATCGCCTCTGGCGATGGGCGTCCAATGGTCCAATGGTGTGTGTGGGTGTGTGTGTTTGTGTTTGTGTGCATGTGTGTGTGTGTGTGCGTATGTATGTACATGTTACACAAGAACAGGGACGATCTGAGGACGAGTTTAGCTGCAGCTGTTGAACTTCCATG